AAGTAAGTAAGTAAGTAAATAAGTAAGTAAGTAAGGAAGTAAGTAAGTAAGTAAGTAAGTAAGTAAGTAAGTAAGTAAGTAAATAAGTAAGTAAGTAAGTAAGTAAGTAAGTAAGTAAGTAAGTAAGTAAGTAAGTAAGTAAGTAAATAAGTAAGTAAGTAAGGAAGTAAGTAAGTAAGTAAGTAATTCATTTATAAAATAAAACAAAAACATACAAAATTAAATGTTTCAGGAGAAAATGTTTAAAAACCTCCAAAAAAGAGGTTGTGGGATCCAATATTTCCCCACCTACAATTTTAAAGAAAGGAAAAGAAAAGGAAAGGAGAAGAAAGTTACATATTTATTATTTACATTACTTTAAATATAACTGGTGGGGGATTGTTAGTATTTTTCAACGATAAACTGACAACTTTTATAAAAAAATATTAGAGGTTATTTGTAATGTTGAAAAAAAATATTGGCTTTAAGGTATCAATGCATCATTGATTCATTTAATTAAAATGTGTGAAAGGTTCTAATCTGAGTTTAGTGAGTTAACTTTAGTATTAATGGTGTAAACTTGGGTTCGTCCCAAGCTAGTAGTTGTATATTCAAACAAGAATTAAATATTTTCCGTTCATAATGTAAAACAATGTTTTGTATTTTCTGACATTTGTTTTTATATAATAATCAATTTCTATTATTATTTTATTGTTATCTTAATGGTCTAGGCACAAAAAATGGAAGGATTGAGAATAATTAAATTTTAAATAAAATTGTATTTGTAGCTTTGGTTGATAATAAAACCCTACAAAGTACATATGAGATATAAATTACGACCTATAGATTTTTAAAAAAGGACATTTTAATTGTTATGTCTGCCTTTAATAAAGTATTTAAAGGTTTAACTGGAAAATGACTAACAAATTCCATTTAATTGTTTCTAAAGTCTCATCTTGTGTGGGTAATCCTGTATATTGACATGAAAAGAAGCTTAAAAATAAAAATTATGTAAACAATTACAAGAAAGCATTGAATTTCTCAACCTGTTTGGAATCCATGTACCATCTATTACGTGCAACATGCTTGGTTTTGGCGGCTGTGGTGTTGTATAAAACCATGTGGCGGAAGCAAGGTTTAACCATGTGGTCGCAACAAAATCCGGGTGATCTAGGAGAAGACGACTTTCACCAAACATCGCCTAGACAAAATAAAATATTAGGAAAATTTTGTTCTCTATTTAGTTTTGATATTCGTACCCTGCAGAATTTGAATAAGGTTTACAAGCGCAAAAAAAAACTTTCTTTCAGTATTTTACTTTTGATGTTTATAACCACAACAGAGACACTGAAATACTCTCAATACGATTTTTTGTAGTGGGTTGCAACAAGTTACACTTCGAACGTCGAAAGATCGAATTTTGCGCTGTTATTGCTTAATTTTTGCGAATGGAAACACTGTTATATTGTGAATGGTTTAATGAAAGGTAGTACCTGGGAAAATTGACCATAGTTGAAATTATAGCTGAGCTGTTTAGCACCTCGTCCAAAATATTTCTTAAACTTCCCTTCCGTATCCTTTCCACAAGACCATTTTTTCGTTATAGAATCCTAAAATATACAAAAATAAAAAAAATTATTCTGAACAGTTTCATGATATTAAAGTAAAGAAAATGAGTTTAAATCATTTGACAGTTTATTCAGTTAACCACATTTTCTCTTTTTAAAGAAAATTAGCATGTTTAGTTTGAAAACTGTTGGAAGAATATTATTCTTTTTATGCATTTGACGCCAAAATGTAGTCAATCTGTTTGCTTTAAACAACTATCATTAAAATTAAACTTTGCTAAACACAATTGTGTATTTCATGGTTAAACGGAATTTTTCTTTTTTTTAAGCTTATTTTTTCTTTATATTGGATAGGAAATAATCTTATTATATACAGTTGATTTAATTACATTTAATTAATTACATAAAGCATTGATTTAATTACATATTGCATGAAAATACCAAGAAAACGTCAAGAATGTAAATCTATATAACAAAACAAGACATTCGTATATATACATGTTGCGTATAGCCGGCCAAACGGCTGGACCGAATGGGCATTTTTTGTGGACACTCATGGGTGGTCAGGGGGTGTTATAGGCAAAAAAAATCGAAGTATTTATTTAAAATGAAAATGAATATGAAAAAATAAATTACCAAAACATCTATATTACTTTTTCTTGAAATAATTTTTTTGGCACAAGAGCTGATTCCGTGAAAATATAAAACTATTCGGAGAAACTTATTTCTGAATTACATAATTAATGATTAAATAAAACATAAAGACGATATTACCTTATCCTCACAATTACTGTTATACCCACAACCAGGAGAAGTATCTGTACAACCTTGCTCGCGTACAACACTCAGACCCTGTACAATTATATGATAATATGCTGTACCTACAACCAGGAGAAGTATCTGTACAACCTTGCTCGCGTACAACACTTAGACCCTGTACAATTATAGGATAATATATGTTGTACCTACAACCAGGAGAAGTATCTGTACAACCTTGCTCGCGTACAACACTTAGACCCTGTACAATTATAGGATATGATATGTTGTACCCACAACCAGGAGAAGTATCTGTACAACCTTGCTCGCGTACAACACTCAGACCCTGTACAATTATAGGATATGATGTGATGTACATAAATTGGTGATTTCTCTTAAATACATAGAACCAGTTGAAATGATTTTAAAACGTTGTATTGTACTTGAACGTGTTTGAAAGTTGAATGTTTAAAAAACTGAGCAATAGAAATTTTGAAAATATAAAATAATTTAATATGATAATTAAAACAGCCAAGAGCTTTATATTTTTACTGTTAAAATAATGATTGATTTGTAATTTTAAACTCGTTTACTGTACACATCTACATGTATTTTAGCAATAAACTTTATCTATCAATCTATCTAATAATTAAGGAGTCGAGTTTTTGTCAAAAACTTAGACTTTCTAATCTCTTTCTCTTTGCAACCCAATGTCGTAAACCTTAGATATTTCAAACAGTTTATAGGGAATAGGAAATCTGAGTTTGTGGCAAAATTCTTTCGCCTAAAATTTGGAATTTTCATCTGTAACATGACAGTAAACCATCAAATCTTGAGATTTCTGCATTGAAGCAGAGCAATGCATTTTAGAATAAATTGAGGATTGGTTAAAGTGCGATATATTTCCTGATTTAAATTCTACTTGAGCCTTACTGACAGCTTTAAATGGGAACTGATCGTTGATTTTTGGCAAACTGCAAACCCACAGTCAACCAAAACAAAATTTAACTTTCAACCCATCACAAACTATTAGTAAAATAACATAAAAGGAATTGAGTCTTTGCAACAACCTCAATTTTTCTAATCTCTTTATCTTTGCAACCTGGAAGTGTAACCCTTTCATATTTCAAACTTAGAATATTTAATCCAACAAAATGCAAAGTTTGACAGATCTAAGGTTGGGTTGGAAAGATAGAAAGTCAGTGTTTGTGGCTAAGACTCAATTCGTTTGTTTGTAATGTCGGATAATAAAAAGAGATTTTAATAAAAGAACGTTGAAAATATCTAACAAATTGACAAAGCTAAGTTTTCAACAAAATTGTCCCTGAAAAAAATCAATACCTGTCTCCATTCCTCAAATTCGTTATCACTAGGATTATGATTTCCAGTTTCCTGAATTCAAACATTTTTTGGCGGATTTTCTTGTTTTTACTTTTTACATTTCATTTAGCATTTTTCTATCTTTTATCAAAAATTATAATATTATAAAAATACATAATTTTAAATAAAATATTTTTAAAGGCTTCGAAAAAGATTTATTCTAAATAATAAAACTATCTATTGATTCTAATATATTTATATTTTTTCAGGTATGGCTAATGTTAAAATTGAAATACTTCATATTTAGACGACTGTAAAGTGAAAAAGGTTTAAAAAGAATATTTTTCTATATTTTTTTTTTAAATATTCAAACATAAAATCAATATCCAAAAATAATGTCCCTGAGTGAAATGCGCGAACATGGTGGCCAACGTCTTTCTGAATATTATCATTTAAAATATCAGGAAAAAGAAGTTATAGTTATTATAATTACTTTACTCCTTGGTTACCTTACTCCTTGGTTACCTTACTCCTTGGGTACCTTACTCCCTGGTTACCTTACTCCTTAGTTAGTTACCTTCTTCGTTGGTTATCTTACTCCTTAGTTACCTTACTCCTTGGTTACCTTACTCCTTGGTTACCTTACTTCTTAGTTACCTTACTCCTTGGTTACCTTACTTCTTAGTTACCTTACTCCTTGGTTACATTACTCCTTGGTTACCTTACTCCTTGGTTACCTTACTCCATGGTTACGTTACCTTACTCCCTGGTTACCTTACTCCTTGGTTACCTTACTCATTGGTTACCTTACTCATTGGTTACCTTACTCATTGGTTACCTTACTCATTGGTTACCTTACTCCTTGGTTATCTTACTCCTTGGTTACCTTACTCCTTGGTTACCTTACTCCATGGTTACGTTACCATACTCCCTGGTCACCTTACTCCTTGGATCTTTGGGTACCTTACTCCTTGATTACCTTACTCTTTGGTTACCTTACTCCTTGGTTACCTTACTCATTGGTTACCTTACTCATTGGTTACCTTACTCCGAAAATTACCTTACTCAAATTGAATAAGTTTATCAAAATAAAGATTCTAAAGATCAAGCTTACTGTTTGAAATACTATAGGTGTATGAAGGGAAACTGGGGGAGCGGGGTACAGGATCGAGGTGTATGAAGGGAAACTGGGGGAGCGGGGTACAGGATCATGTATGAAGGGAAACTGGGGGAGGGGGGTACAGGATCGAGGGAGGGTGACAGTGAAATGGTGAGGGATAACAAAAGAAAAAAGAGTTGAAAAGTTTGTGTAAATTCTGCCGGAATCATAAATTGACAATAAAATTTTACCCTTTCCATAGTTTGGTTTGCAAAGAAAATATTTGAAAAATAAATTTAAATCTTTATTATTCAACTTTATACATTTCAGACCAACCCCTTGGGTTTACAATCAAACTTATTTATAAAGATCAATTTGTGATCAATTCAAAAAAGTCGTAATCAATTTTTTCGAGTCGTGATCAATTGATTTAGCCTCGGATCAATTCCTTCAATTCTAGATCAATTCTTTTAATTTGTGATTCTTTCTTTCAACTCGTGATCAATTCTTTCAAATCGGATCAATACTTTTAATTCATGTTCATTTCTTTCAGAAATATTCAATTCTTTAAATTCATTATAAGTTCTTAATTAATTATTTCAATTTTTAATCAATTATCATGTCAGTCAGTCAGAATCGATTTACATAAATCCTTAAACTTTGGACTTTAAAAAAATAAAAAAATGAATGAAAAAGTTTGGAAAGTGGAAAGGTTAATTGAAAGGTTTTTTGATAATTTCATTCCTGCAAATTCTGTCTGATTCATCCTCTTTTCCCACATAGCCACAGATTGCCGGGAATTTTCCAATTGCCTAAATAATTTACAATTTAAAAAATGTAAATTAATCTTACCAAATATCAATTTTAAACTTATTTCTTATTATCTCATTTAATTATCTCATTTAATCTTGAAAACAGGACGGCAAAACTTTTTAGAGGAATGGTATCCGCTCAGCTTTAACATGGCTTAAACAAATAAACTTGTACATACTTTTAAATTGAGATTATAACTCCTTAAATGAATAAACCATCTAGAGGGGAATAAATGAATGAAAGAATAAACCGGTTTAAAAGTAGTTTTATCGGGAAACAATTTTTAATCTATATCTAAATACTTTATAAAATACATTTGATAAAACTATAACTAATATATCAAAACCAATTAACACCATCTTTTACAGCACTAAACACCTGTATTTAAGAATTCCCTGTACATTGAATAACTGTATTTTGTAACTACCTTGTATAATGAATATCTGTAATTCAGGAAAGCCTGAACACAATGAACAGTGTACAATGAAAAGCTGTAATTTAGGAGACCCTGTAAAATAAGTACCTGTAATTTAGGACACCCTGTCCAATAAGTACCTGTATTTTAGGAAACCCTGAACAATAAGTATTTTAAGACACCCTGTAAAATAAGTACCTGTAATTTAGGACACCCTGTTCAATAAATACCTGTATTTTAGGACACCCTGTACAATAAGTATTTTAAGACACCCTGTAAAATAAATTCCTGTAATTTAGGACACCCTGTAATTTAGGACACTCCCTGTACAATAAATACATGCATTTCAGGACACACTGTACAATAAATACACGTATTTCAGGACACCCTGTACTTATAAATACTTGTATATTAGAACAGACAGTACAGTGTACAGTGTACAAAAAGTAAATGTAGTTTAGGACTCCTTGTAGAAAAATACCTGTAAAAGACGTTGATAAGTATAACTCGGATGTCGTCTAGGGAAAAGATCTTCATAGTTGGCCTGAAACAAAATAATGCGATTTAACTTTTTTATTTTTTTTTTATTTCTACCAATTTTCTATGAAATGGCCTACATTTGTGAAATTAACTTTGTAAGAAATGTTCCTCTCTATAGAAATGTCCTTTTTATAAAATCTATGAAATGTATAATGTCCTATCCATAGAATTATTTGTTTATTTATAAAATGTCTTGTTTTAGGAAATTATTTCAATCAATGAAAATTACAACACGGTACAGTACAGCACAGTACAGTACAGTACAGTTAAGTACTGTACAGTACAGTACAGTACAGTACAAGACAGTACAGTACACAATAGTACTATTCAGTACCTCTGTGAGAATGAATTCCACTCTCTGTACATTATCGGGATTATCAGAAGCTCCAGGTTTTATTTTCTCAACAATAGATGTATCCAGGGTATGAACTGTTTTTTTCACCTAAAAACAGCACAACTAATATTTCTTTAAAATATGTTTCTATTTCTTTTATTATGTATTCCTACAAAGTTTCTAAAAATCATTTTTATAAGTTTTTTTATTTAATTATAAATAATGTGGAATAGTGAAATGTGTAAGCAAAGATATATTCTATTATGCGTTGTTTTGGATTAGGAGTTTTTCTGAGCTGAAGACTTTAGAATGGCGGATATCAAGATCAATGCTTGATCCTCTCTTTTTTCTATTCTCAAGACTAATATTTTGTTGTGTCATATCAATTGGAATAATGATCAAATGTGATAAAATAAGTTTTTTAATAAGTTCATATTAACATGATTAAATTTATATTTGTTTAAATGCTCTTAAAGTCGGCTTGTGAACAGCTGACTTTGGTCCAATCTGATATTAGTCCAATAGATATAGCATTGTATTTGTATCTGTAATCAAACGTATCTTTATTACATGAAGTAGGAAATGTGATATCCAACAAGAGTGGATTAAAAAGAAAATTAAAAGTTTTCACAGTGGATATTTAGATTAATTGATCAGGATTAAGGGTATCCCGTTCTAAAGTTTTCAGCTTAGAGCTGGGAACTTTAGAACGGGATACCTTTAATCCCAACTACTTAATCCGAATGTTCAATGTGGACACTTTTGATTTCTTGCATACTCCACTCTTTTTTGGGTACAGATAAATTAAAAACCGTTTTTATAAAATTAAGAGAGTCCCTCCCGTTTATTTTCTTAAATGGGGCGTAACATTTCAAATTTCCAGGCTTCTGATACGCGACTCTGATTGTTGAATTTTATACATTTTTCAGGATGCGAGTACAGGATTAGGTTAGACTCTAGATTAAGAAAAGAGATAATCAAGCATTGATCTCGATATCGACCATTCAAAAGTTCCCAGTTCTGGACTGTCAATGTAATTTCTAACGACCCTTGCTTACAAAATAGCATATCCGATTCTTATACCGGTACCATTTAAACCTCTATCTGAGCAATATATATAGAGGAATATATCTATTTATTTTTAATTACACAATTTTGATTTTGAAAAACGACAATATCTTCCACATTATTGATTAGATATAGGGTTAAAGGGCGATGTAAAATCAGGCATGCCCCCATGAAATGAAGGGGACTTGAAATTAAGACAATCCATTTAAAATGTTCAACTAAGCGTAAAATTTCAATGGTTTTATAGATGAAGTGCCCGTGGAAATTTTTTTTCTAAATATTAAAGAAAAAAATTCGATTTTTGATACAAAAAATTGAAATATTTTAAGAAAAAAATAAGAATTTCTTTAAGCCTATGGTTCCCCGATGTACTCAAGGGTTCCCTCAAAAAATGTCAGCCCATTCGGTCCAGCCGTTTGGCCAGCTATAGCTAACGTATATACATCTAAATATAAATGAGCAAAGAGCTTTATGATATAAACTAGCTGGAGTACCCGGCGTTGCCCATGAAATTAAAAAAAATCTCATTTTGAAAAAAATATTCTAAATTTTGAAAAAAATTCGATATTTGAAAAAAAAAATTAAATGTTTATCCTTTGTTACCCCATGGGATTCCTCAAAAAAAAGTTCAGCCCATTCGGTCCAGCCGTTTGACCAGCTATAGCTGCAATATATATATAAGCAAAGAGCTTTTTATATGTATAGATAACTCTTGAATTCATCAATGAATATATTTGTTTGTTAACTTTTTATTAAAAAGACGACATTTGAAATATAATCTTGTTAATGGTTTTCTGAAGTGTTTACACATCTTCAACATATTTACTAGTGGGACAACAATGGGAGTTTATTATACCCTCGGGACCCAACTCTTTTATACACATTGTCAACTAGAGAAAAACTCGAGATAAGGTCCTTTAATATGGAGGTTTATAGGACATTTTACCTTGCAGGGTGTGCTATTACACAGTGTAGTTGAGAAACACGTGGCTTGAAGGTTGTTATTGATCGTTGATATTATTCAATGACAAAATGTGCAGTACAGAAGTACCACCAAATAGTTTTTAGTACTCTAGTTTCTTTAGAAATACTGACAAAGATTTATGTGTGTCTAAACTGTCACTTTAGTGGTAGTCAATGCTCAAAAAAAACTATTCTTATGTTGGAATAGTTCCATGCGTAAAAGCTAGTTTGGTGTGTTTCAAATTTAAATTAATATCTGAAATGTTTTAAATTTAAGTTTTTGTTGACTTTCCTTGTGAAAGCATTTTAAATACAATAAATGGAATTAATTAAGAGAAGAGTGAGAATAAAAGGATCCAGAGATTAATTATGTTTCCTCACTTAATCCTTAAACAACAGTGTAAGTTGAGCATTGAGCTCTTTCTTATTTTCTCGTCTTTTTATTTTATTTCAAACATGGTGAAAAAAGGCTTAAAAAACAAGATACGCTGAGTATCCTAAATGTCTAGTATGATGTTGTTACCTTGTCAAAAAGTGGATATTGTTTTGTCAATAGGTTTTCTCTTTCTTTAGCCTCTCTGATACAAAAAAACATGATAAGAAAATTTAAAAAGATAAAAATTATAAAATGATGGAAAAAGTAAAAATGTAAAAATTACACCAAATATATTTATATATGAATCTATTTAAACAAACAACTAACTATAATTAATTTACAGTTCACTTTTCGATGTTATTTGAAAGAAAAATATATATGAAAATTACCACAAATATTACTTTATTGATATATTTATGATGAAAAAATTGAAATTTAAAATTCATATCTTCAATATTTTGTAATAAAATAGAAAATTGAAGAAAGAAATGATTGAGAATTTGAAATAAAAGTGCTTTTTACCTGAAAGAAGGCACATTGGCATGCTCTGGACTTGGAACCGAACTAATCACAATCTGAAAATTATTTCAAATTTGAAGATAATTATCATTTTCCAACGATGTTACTATAAACCAATAATAACTGAGACTAACTTTGCTTTCGTAACATCAAATCCTAAACCAAAAGCACAACAAATATTTTTTTTTCCAAAATAAATTGTATCCGATTTTATCCTGGATGTAAATAGCCTGATGTAAGAAAAACTTAAAGGAGTTCAGGGCCTGGTGAGACAGGTTATATTTCAATAAAGTAAAAAAGTATTCAGGGACTGTAAGTGTAATTTCCAGCAACTCTCCATGCAAAGCTGGCATTGCACGATTCACAACGGTACCCTTTAAACCTTTATCTGATTAATTAAATATTAATATTTATAATTTTTAAAAAAATGACCTTTTCAAATGTGAATTCTTTGCGAAAGAAGTGACTTGCAAATTTCTACTGCAGAAAAACATATAGAAATTATTAGAATTTAACACTTTTAAACCTTGAAAACCGTCTACATCATTGATCGGATAAAAGTTTTAAGAGTACCGTTGTGCATCGGACATTGCCATTTTTGTATGGAGGATCACTTAAAATTAAGTCCCTGTGAAAAAAAAAATGCTTACCGGCTCAGGTTCTATAAAAGTGCCTGTGTCAATGGTGTTGATGGAAGGATTCCTGAAAACAAGAACTTTTAAAACCCTTAATTTTGTTTTCCAGAAGAAGAAATTAGATTGTGTATCTACTTAGTTGTTTTTCAGAGAGTTAGAAATGTTGCAGGGGCATTAACAGCCCCTTTAGGAAATAATCTGCTAAAGAGGCTTTTCTTCCGTTTACACCCCCCCCNCATGTGTTCGCCCCTTAAGTCTGGAATCATAAAATTCTAAAAGGAAAAGTTGAAAACGTGTTTAATCTCATCTAATGTTTACATAAAACTAATATTATGTTATTAAGCGTGTAATGTGTATCTAACCTTAGTTTTGGGTGGATTTGTATCCAACTAAGTTCTGTTCAGGAGGATGTGCATCCAACTAACCATTGTTTAGGAGGATTTGTATCCAACTAACCTCTGTTTAGAAGGATGTGTATCCAACTAACTTCTGTTTTGAAGGGTGTACATCCAACTAACCTCTGTTTAGAAGGATGTGTATCCAGCTAACCTCTGTTTAGGAGGATGTGTATCCAACTAACCTCTGCTTAGTAGGATGTGTATCCAACTAACTTCTGTTTTGAAGGGTGTAATCCAACTAACCTCTGTTTAGAAGGATGTGTATCCAACTAACCTCTGTTTAGGAGGATGTGTATCCAACTAACCTCTGTTTAGAAGGATGTGTATCCGTTTAAACTGTGCTTAGGAGAATGTGTATAAAACTAAACTCTGTTTAGTAGTATGTGTATCCAACTAACCTCTATCTAGTAGGATGTGTATCCAACTAACCTCTATCTAGTAGGATGTTTATCCAACTAACCTCTGTTTAGGAGGATGTGTATCTGAGCTAACAATATCTGGCAGTTCAAAGCTAGGATCTTCTAAGCATTCTGCTGCATCCGGCCAATTACAGATCTAAATATGTCCTTCCAGTTACAGATCTAAATATTTACAGATCTAAATATGTCCTTCCAGTTACAGATCTAAATATGTCCTTTCAATTACAGATCTAAATATGTCCTTCCAGTTACAGATCTAAATATGTCCTTCCAGTTACAGATCTAAATATGTCCTTTCAATTACAGATCTAAATATGTCCTTTTAGTTACAGATCTAAAGATGAAAATCTTTTTAAATTTAATTTTCAATTCTTTGGTAAAATAAAAAGAAAATATTATTGATTTTGGATTTTGATTTTATTTAATCCACTTGCATGGATTTCTCAAAATTTGTAAACTTCCAAAAAAAAATTTTTTTGCCTATATTTTTTTTTATTTTGTCAGACAAAAATAAGGAAGAAGAACTAGATTTGTTAACTAAAATATGTTACCTATGTTACCTATGTATGATAATTTCAACAAAACAAAAATTAGAAAACGAGCCCGGGCCTCCTAATTTGCTGGAGATTGTTTCAATATTTGTTACAATCTTTGTTATCGTTAAATTATCAGCAGTCCTATAATACACTGATGACCAGAAAACTCTGGAATAGGAAGTCGACTTTTAGAATCAAGCTATGCCTTTAAATAGTCAAATGTACTTGAGGCAGAGTAAACAGACCCATTTCAATTATTAAGTGATTTGATAATTTACTAGTAAAGCTAATTGCTTTGTAACAACATCAAATACACTTCAGAATGTCTTCAATGTCGTCTTCGTATTCTACAGTATTCTGGTATTCACTGTACGGCACTGCACACAAACCACTTATCCCCGGCTGCAGAATACCTTTATGGCGTGACCCAACAAGTATGAGACTTTAATAACGGCCTTAAACTCAATATATTAAACTATTTGAAGATTGTATACGGTTTTCTGCCTAAAATATTGTCTTGAAATGAAATATCAACTGATTTGTCAAAGAAAAAAAGCAATTTTACTATAAGATACAGGACTAAAAAGCAATTTTACTATAAGATACAGGACTAAAAAGCAATTTTACTATAAGATACAGGACTAAAAGGCAATTTTACTATAAGATACAGAACTAAAAAGCAATTTTACTATAAGATACAGGACTAAAAAGCAATTTTACTATAAGATACAGGACTAAAAAGATTCAGTACAGTCGTCTTTTTTGCGAGCTTGTGTCCTCAAATTACCTTTAGTTTAGTATCGAATATAAGATTAGCCGGACAACTCTGAAGGCTGGGACCTCCACTCTCACATTTATAATATTTACGGCAATTCTGAGGGTTCGCGTACAGTTCGTTACTAGCTCCTGTACAGTACAACTGGAAATCAATTTACTTTACTTTACAGAACTGGGCAAAGATGAGAAAATAACTTTTATGTTTCATGTTTGTGGCAAAAACTCAATTCCTTTACTGAAAATTCCGATAACGTTTCTGGACAAAGTTATGTTAACACACAAAAGTTTTACAGCATTTACGGAAGATTCCGTTTCCGAACAAAAATATCCGTAAATTTAGAAGTAAGAAGTTACGGACATTGCGTTAATTTGTGTGCCAATTTTTGTAAATATTTTTGGAAATTTTAAGGCCAAATGTTTTGAATCTAAACCTACATATATTTGTTCCAAAGAACAACTCAAATTATAGAAATATTTTTTGTGTTTTAAGTAAAACACAGAAATATTTTCAACATTGAAAATGTGTTTTCAGCTGGTTTCCTGAATGGCAGTGAATGGGTTCAAAATAAGGTTTCTTTTTCTCCTGGGGTTTATCCTCCTCTACTGGGGCACTCTCCTGAAATTCACTTTCTGCAAACAGATCTCTAAAAATAAAACCAAATCAAATTTTGGATATTATTTCAAAATTTCTCTATAAAAGTAACTCGCATATTTATGCAGCAGAAACATAGAATAAAATTGTCTGAAAAGACCACTTTTCCAGAAAAACGAGAAACTATTTTACTGTTATTCCGATTACGGTATAAAGGGTGCTGTTGAGAATCCGGCATGCATAAAGAGTTTATTTCAAACCTCGTCAACAGTCAAATTAAGTTGCAAGGTTTGTCTCAAATCTAGTGTTTTTAGTATTTTTGAAAGTTAATTTGTAACATTTTGATTTTTAAATTACTTTTAAAGGTTAAAATGCAATTGAGTTTTTAAAGTTTAGTTTGAATTTGTTTTGATTTGGCATTGGGAAGCTTGAATTGATTTGGTTTGTTTTGGTTTAGATCAAGATAGTTTGGTTTGGATTAAAATGTTTTTTTTTAATCAAGATGGGTTGGTTTGTTTTGGTTCGGATCAAATAAGTTTGGTTTGGTATGGGTTAGGTATGGGTTGGTTTGGAAAAAGATAGTTTAGTTTGGTTTTCCTGAGAATTTGTTCTTTAACTTTTTGTTTTCTAAATTTCTCTTGATCTTCTTCCCGATTCTCAGAGTCCCTGTCAGAGTCTCTGAAAACAATAAGATTGATAAATAGAAGATGGGCGCGAAGCACCCTGAAAGCCTAGTGTGCTACATTTGAGAGTTTGTATAATTGATACAAATTGTACATTAAAAACTTTGTGTATTTGATTCATTGTATATCTAATGTATTGTATATTTTGGACATCGTACATTTGGGACATTGTACATTTGGGACAATTTACATTTGGACCAATATACATTTGTGACAAATTGTACATTAGGGACATTGTACAGTTGGAACATTGTAAATTTTGGACATTGTACATTTTGGACATTATACATTTTGGACATTATACATTTTGGACATTGTACACTTGGGACATTGTACACATTTAGGACACTGTACATTTGATACATTGTATATTTGATTCATTGTACATTTGAGATATTGTGCATTTGCAGGTATGTGTATTTAAGGAACATTGTACATTGGAGACATTGTACATTTAAAAAATTGTGCAGTTGGGACATTGTACATTTGAGACATTGTACATTTGGGACATAATATGTTTAGGATATTTTACATTAAGGACATTGTACATTTGGGACATTGTACATTTAGGACATTTTACATTAAGGACATTGTACATTTGTGACATTGTACATGTGAGACCCATTACTATTAAAACCTTATCTCTAATCTTTCGCTTGTCATATTGCATACCTGAAATTATCCCTATCACTGTTCTTGTCATATTGCATACCTGAAACTGTCCCTTTCCCTGTTCTTGTCATATTACATACTTGAAACTATCCCTATCACTGTTCTTGTCATATTGCATACCTGAAACTATCCCTATCACTGTTCTTGTCATATTGCTTACCTGAAACTATCCCTTTCCCTGTTCTTGTCATATTGCATACCTGAAACTATCCCTATCACTGTTCTTGTCATATTGAATACCTGAAACTATCCCTATCACTGTTCTTGTCATATTACATACCTGAAACTATTCCTATCACTGTTCTTGTCATATTGCATACCTGAAACTATCCCTATCCCTATCCCTGGCATTTTCATCTTGTTCTGAGTTCCTGTCCCTATCTCTGTCTGCATCTCCAGAATTTCTATTAAAAGTAGTTTTAAAAAACATAAAAAATATAGCGGCAATCGTTAGAAGCTGTCCAATATCAATGCAGAATTCGTGCATAACCATAAACAATCACATAAAAAAATTTAAAAAATTTTAATTATTCAGATTTGAAACTTTTTGAATGAGTTCCATCGTCACTTTTTTTTCAATGGTTTAGAATTTAGAAATGAAAAACAACACTCTTTCAGTATTAAAAAATCAAGGTTTAAAAATGAAAATAATTTGCAGTCGTTTCACTTGTTTTACTTAAAGGCAGTGACCGGCAATGTATGGTGGTTAAACTGAGATTGCAGTTTTGTAGACAAATTTGAGAATCGTTTTTTTAAATTATTAAATAACGACTGCAAAATATGTAAAAAAAATTATGCAGTAATCTAATTAGTTGTTTAGGAACAACTTGAGAAAATAAAAATCAACTCTTTTCATCAAAAATAAGTAATCTTATTCAGTTATTAGTTTCTGTAATCTCCCATTACTCACAAAGATCTTATGTATTGAAAAAACGACATTTGAAGAGTTTGCAGAAATTTGCGAACAAATTCATAAAAATAAGAAAATCAATAAAATGATGAAAGCGAAATAATTGATTCTAACATCATTGATTTATTGACAAATTTCTTTTGAGAAATATGTTCCTAAACATCCAATTAGCTTACATAGAAGTTTTAATATATTTTTTGTCCTCGTTATTTGATAATTTAAAAAACCCCGATTCTCAAAACCTACCCACCCAAATTGATGATTTTCAACGTCGACTTTGCGCTCAAACTCGTTAATTAAAGATCTTTAAAGCGTTTTATATGTCTTAATTAAATCCTAAAAATTTCTCTACAATACTGCAATCTCAGTTCAACCACCATACATTGCCGGTCACTCCCTTTTTAAATCCATGTTTTAAAATAATTGGAAATGTTTCCTTATTTCTAGTTTAGAAATTAAATTTAATTTTATCTGATTTCTTTTAGAGTAAATTTCTAATCCCAAAAAACATGCTGCAAGATTAAATGAAAACCAATGAACTAAAAACAGAAACAAATTGGTTCTATTTCTTCCCAGCCCTTTAATGATGTAAAAATGCAGTCTCTGCACTTTAATGTGGGGAATAAAACACACAACCTATTCAAAGCCTTCCACAGTAGAATATACAGTGGGACCCATATAATTGAGAAAAATTATGACTGTTCAAGGCTCAAGTTTATAGAATAGACCAATAAATATGAAAAACAGTGTATACTGTATAATAGATCGATTACTACTGGCGAAACTATTTGCTTTACAACAACTACAAATATACATAATTTTGCTGAAATTTTGTTTTTCTACTACACTGTTCCATTGTAATCGATAGATTGGTGGTTTTATTTTATAATTTAACTTGGTTTCACTTTATTTAGTAGAGAGGTTGCGTGAATTATTAAAATTTAAGAGGTTTTGTGAATTTATTTGCTATAAGAGGTTTCGCGAATTATTTCAAGGGACTAACCTCTAAGTTAATTTTATTCTTATCTATATTAATTATATTTTATATTTAAGCTGAGTTGTTAATTGGAGGAAATATTTTAAAGGAATTCCTGAAAACTAGAAAAATTATTGTTATAATTAATGTTGAAATATATGAATTAGAATAATGTTTTCAAATAAAGATTAAATAGAATTGAATTAAAACCTGAAAAGTTGGCTTCCCCTGTTACTGAACTGAGGAACCTCTGTAGGCCTTGCTGTTGGTCTTGGCTCCTGTGGGGTCATAAAGTACATTTGATTTATATTTTTTACAGTTTTTGATTTTTGAATTACACTTCATTTTCTTCATAGCTTTGACATTTCTAAATGTAAATACAAAGCTAAAGTATTTCTAAACATAATAGATTCTTTGGGGGATAATCTTCAAATGAAAAACACTAAATTCTCACCAAAAAGTTTATATATAAAATTGTTTTTTTTTAATATATTTGATATATATAAAAATTTAACATTGTAAAAATATAACATTGCATCCTTCTTTCCTGTAATTTATAAAGTCTGTTAACCTGAAACCATTGTAAGAAAGTACAATATTAAAATTGTTTTAATTATTTGGCGGATTAAAATTTGTGTAAGGTATATTTATTAGGCTTTTCATAAACCTTACTTTTCTTAAATGTCTTACTAAATTCTGGCTTGATCGTCTCAACAGTTTGAAATTGATTTTAATACAAACAAACTGCAGATCTTGAATATAAAATTGTGGAACTTTTACACTTTCGTTTTCATGCAATTTATTCCTGTGATGTTCGGGGTCTGCTAGTTCTTAATCGAACCAAGGGGTTTGTCTTCCTATCCCTAAAATTCAGATTAATCAAATAAAATAAAAATTTTAAAAATTAAATATTTAAGTTTTTTAAATCCTGGGATTTGACCTGACATGAAAAAGACTGGCAATTGCCTCTTTCCGTCGTTTTTCTTCCGCCTCCGTGAGTTCAGGTACTTCTTCAATGCCCTCCGCCCCTACAGGAAATAAGCCAAATTTTGTAAAAAAAATGAAAAGTTTAGTTTTGAATAATCTTAGATAATAAGGGTTGAGTACTTCAATTGTTCGTTTATTTTAAGAAATAAAAGATGTATTTGAATCAAAATCATTATCCAAACGCCAATTATTAACTAAATATATAACATCTAGGTTCTCATCAAATTTTGCAATTATTCACTGCAATTCGGCGAAGGAACTGATTTTTGCCACACACTCAAATTGTCTAACCCCTATATCTTTGCAATCTAATAATAAACTTTAACTATTTAAAACTTCTACTATTTCATCTAACAGAATTCATCGTGTTGCAAAGAAATAGGGACTAAGAAGGGGCAAAAACTCATTTCCATGTAACATTAATGACAATGTAACGAATAAAAATGGATTTTGTACAAAGTTCATAATTTTTTTGGCACGAAAATGCTCAATTTTTAATATATTTTGTAGAAAACCTAGACCATCTTTTAAAGCGGAACAGAAGGATTTTATCTTAAAAGTTTTTGAACATTTGAAAAGTTTCCTTTGAAAAGATCCTCCTCTGTTAAACCAGATATCACACTCTTTTCTCTTTAAGATAATAAAATAAAAATTGAAAAAAACTATATATTTTTTTGATTAGTTATAAGATTCTTTATTCTAAATCTATATATAAATTTGGCTTGTCTGTCTGTCTGTTTGTCTGTTTGTTTGTTTGTTTGTTTGTATCCAATAAACGTCAAAACGGCTGAACCGATCGGGTCCCAAATTTTTTGTGGGACATCTAGGGAGCCCAGGGAAGGTTTATGAATGATCAAAATTTCAAATATTTGTCTCCATCAAAATTCGATCATCATTAAATTTTTTAAAATTTTGAAAATCCGCGAAATTTTTTGTGAAAATCCGCGAATTATTTTTGTTTTGTTTTACGATGTACACAAAGAGAACATGTTCACAATTAGTTTAGGAGATGGGCGCGAAGCGCCCTCTAAGGCTAGAAAGAAGGGCGCGAAGCGCCTTGAATTTCTAGTATTATATAAATTTTAACTGTTTAATAACGTTTTATAAGAATTTTTGTTCAGACATGAAGTTCTTTAATCTTAAGAAAAGCAAAAACATTAGATTAAACCAAACAGATTATCAAGTATCTACAATAGGTGACAACAGAGAAATGGACCAACTAAATAAGACGTCACAAGTGTCAAATATAGAAAGGAATACCAAATTTTCTCAAATTAGTTGACATGTTTTCCAAGATTAAATAAAAAGTGTAAAAACAGAAGTTAAAGAACACATAGAATTGCACTTATTTCACTTTAAGATAAGCACTTAGTCTAAATAAATCACTATTATTAATAATTTTGTCGGACAAAATAACTGAATTGACGTAAGAATACATTATATTGTTCTTGAAAATCTATTTGGATTAAATTAAATTATCTTAATTTCCTGATTGGAATCTTTGGTTTGAGGTCAACAATACACGTCGTGGAATCAGGCCAATTACAGATCTATCAAAGCAAAACAAAATTTGTTTTGGTAATCTCATTTAAACAGAAATTACCATTGTCTTACGGAAGGTCCTGAAGGAATTGTTTCAATGTTTTTTTTAAAATTAAATAGTTGTTTGTCTTTTTGTTTGTTGTACAAATTAAGCAAAGAGACTTTTAAACATAATTAAGTTTCTTTTGTTTCTTAACCCTAGGCTGGGGGTTGTGAATCTATGTATAGCCGGGGGGGGGGGGGCTTGGCGCTCCCCCCCCACTATAAAAAGGCCTTAGAGAAAAGGTAAAGGGTTGAAATGCATGTTCATAGCCCAATTTTTCATGGTCAGTTCAAAGAAAAAAAAATAAGACCAGCTTAAATAGTTTGGATGCTAGTGAGGGTGGGGTGGAAAAAATTCCTTAAGAACGTGGCAAATAACTGAAGATTTTTTTTTTTAAAGCAAATATCAATGTGAGACACATGTTTCTACATGCATTTTTTATATATATAATTCAAAATATAGTTTTTAGATCTGTAGCTTTAGTCACAAAAAATGAATTTAAAAAAAATATTTTTTTAACAAAAAATTCTTTAAATTACTATTCATTAAAAGTAACAAAATTTCACGGTGATAGTGTCAAATATAAGAGTGCTAGGAAAAAAAAACTACATGGGGGCGCCAAACGCCCCCCCCCCCGCTCAGCCTGTTTAGGGTTATAAAGTGATAAGAAAGAGAAAGGAATATAAGAATGAGTGGAACTATCTGTTTACAATAAACCATTGAGTGCNCCCCACTTTGAAAATAATTCTTTCCCCGAAGTTAGGTATTATTGGTTTTAATCGCTGAAATGGGAGTTAAATTGTTATTGAGTTAAATGTATGAAAAAGAATTTTTAATTTCTTTTTATAAGTATACACCCTGCAGTGCTGATTTTAGAGTTTAGAATGTGTGTTACAAAAACAACTTCCATGGCATTTTTTAATGTTTGATTTCAAAAATGCAACACATGACTAAGTAGTATTGTTTGCGCTTCCTTAAGTAATGGATCGAAGACGAGTGTTCCTGGACAGCTCTGCGGGGACGGGGCACCCTGTGCACATTTGTAATATTTGCGGCAATTCTCTGGATCTGGAAGCAACTCACCGTCGTGGTTACAGCTTACACTTTGGCCTACACCTAAAGTATAAAAACATTGTTTTTTAAAAAACAAAACGAACTTAAATATTGTTCCACAATTGTTGTCTCACGAAACATGACAGTTGGTGAATAGTTTTTAATGTCTTCTTCCTATACTGTATTAAATATTGAAGACTTTTTGTAAAGTTTATTTTGTTAAAAAGTCTTTTAATAAAATGTATTCTACTTGGAAATCAATTTTACTGTAATAAGACTGTCATATATTATTTTTTATTATTCTCTTTGGTATCAAACAACTTCAAAATCATTGAAGAAGACATTTCAAACTTTTCACCAACTGTCATGTTTCGTGGGACACCCTGTATTTGCATGTAATTTGTTAGATTTTTACTTTGCTTCATTGTACACACATTGTCATTAGACAAGGTTTGTACTCTTTGTAGTTACTAGTACTCCCGAACCCAAACCGAGTATTGTTGAATTTAGCTCCCGAGTTATCTTTTTGGGGTCTCAACATTTGTGTAGATTTTGATTTTAGATATCTAAAAAAATGGAGAATATGAAGAAACTAAATAAAATAATATTTCATAACAAAAATATTGATATCCCAAAAACTGCCTAACCCCATTCGCGAAACCCGGGTTTCAAACTTGGTTTTCATAACGATACCCTGTCTTAAGTTTTGGCCTCCGTTAGTTCCTTTAAAGGACCATTTAAAAAAAAACGACGATTTAAATGTTGCCCCATTAAAAATTTTATGATTATTCATATTTGGTTCTAAGTGCAATAAAGCATAACATTTTTTTCCAAATATATGAGTCACGGAAACTTAATGAAACGGAAATTTAAGTTGCATACAATTACATCCATGTTTTAATAATTACTGATTGTTTTCATCTTCACACTGTTAGAAGGTCAAACGTTATAGGATTAAAGACAGTTCGACTTATTGAACACTCTGTGAGAAATGTCTAACACTGATTTCTCCTCATTAGCTGGATATATATTTCTGTTGTATTTGGTTAAAGAAAACAACCGTTTTTACAGTGAGAGCATTTTGTTACTTTACAAGGACTTCTTACAGTGAAATTAAAAGTATTTTTTCGTAAAAGTCACCATAGTCTACAAAACAACATTTCTAAAAATGTGATTCTTAATAAAAAAGGGAAATACATTATGATTACGAAGTATTTTATTCTGGGTAGTGGTTACACTAAAAACTTGTTTTTATATCTTTATTATTTTTTATACCTGATTGAAATAAAGCAAAGAGAAGAGAAATCCCTCCACCCACCCTCATATTCAAGCTGCAGTTAAAAACAGTTCCTAAACAAACATAAACTTTATTTCTGATCTAAATAACATTTAGTTTTATTTTGTAGCAACGTAAAGTGAACCCCCATTTTAAGACTAAGATTATTATTTAAAACCATTATTTGGGAAATGATTTTTTTTTTCGTTTTAACAACATCATATACACTTTAAATTACGCTTACAGTCATTTTAAATATGTATTTTTAGTATTTTAGTGGATAGTGTTGAAAGCAGTATATTTACCTACATGCACGACTTAGAGTAGATAAGTCGTGAAACTGTTGATATATTTCTGCCCCTAGCCCCCTGGATGGATTTATCAAGGATACATTTCTTTATCTAAAAAATAGAGTAAAATCATAATCTGTTTATACAAGGATTTGAGGAGGCTTCTAGCTCCCTTTCCAGTTTCCTGTCTTTAAACTGCAGTTGTTTATCAAGATGCAATTTTTAGTTTATTCTTTCTGTTTAAACTGGTGCATTTTCCAAAATAATTAATGGAGACATTTGTTAGTCAACATTTTTCAATTTTGACAGTGTCCATAAACCATCTCTGCAGGGTCATCTAAGATGCAGAAAAAAAAATCCTAACTCATAAACCCCTCGACCGATTTGCCTTAAATTTTGATTGGTGAACTTGTTTTAATCAAGGAAATGATATTTTTGGGTTTTAAACCACTTAATTGAGTTGTTTGACTTTTACAGGAAAAATTTAAACATCCAGGCAAATCCACCCAAGCTTGTAATAAATATGCATTTGTTAATCTAAGATAACTTGACAATTGAAACTTGACAATTGTAAGTTGACAATTGAAACTTGACAATTGAAACTTGACAATTGAAACTTGACAATTGAAACTTGACAATTGAAACTTGACAATTGAAACTTGACAATTGAAATCTATCTATCTTTCTATCAATCTTTCTATCTTTCTATCTATCTATCTATCTACCTATCTAACTATGTACCCTATTTTCACACTAATCTATCTTCTCCCCTTTAGTTCTTTAGGCTTGACCTTTATAACCAAGGTATCTTGGCTAAATTCTAAACGTGAAAAAAAAATCGGAAATTTTAACCTAACCCTAATTTTGTTTAGTTTTGCCTATTAAAGACGCAAAAAAATATTCTTTTAAACATAAAAAATAAAGTAAAAAGAATGTTCAGATGATAATGGTTTCCTGATAACCTTGATATTGATAATAACCTTTAATATCTGGGTCGGAAAGGAACCAGTTTAAAGGGAGCTTGATAACAAAACTTTTTTCGTATATTTAACGGGGGGGGGGGGGGGCTCATCCCCTTCCTAACTTTTTATATTTTATGGTTTTAACTATAGAGACACATTTCAGCAATATCAAATAATCCCGTAAATGCTATTTCTGAGAAGGAAAAAATATTTCATTTTTTATTTAAATATGTTGTTCTCACCTTTCTAGAATCATTATAAGAAAGCAAAGGTCTGTTGGTAACCCCATCAATGTAAGAAATTACAAAATCAACTACTTCAGAATATTAGGCAGAAAAAAGTTTACTGTTTTTTATTTTTACGGTAAGAAGAAAAGGCTCTTGAAGACTGAAAATACATGCAATAACACCTCGATCGTTATTCAACACAAAAAAAAACCTTTATTTGAATTTTTCCTTTAAAGTTTTCTTGCAAAACAATAGAAAGGAATTGAGTCTTTGCCACAGACTCGGATTTTCCCATCCCTATATCTTGTTTAACCTGAGGGCAACAGTCTTTGATATTTCAAACTTAGGTTTTTCGATCTAGAAGAATTCATAGTTTGAAATATCTAAGGTCTACGACATTGGGTTGAAAAGATATAGAGATTAGAAAATCAGAGTTTGTGGCAAAGACTCAATTCCTTTATTAAAACATTTTATTATTAATAACTTTTCTTTCCTGAAATAACAGTAGATTGACAAATAAAAAATTGAAAATACCAAAAATCTACAACGTCAGGTTCCAAAGATATAGAAATGAGAAATGTCAAATTTTTGAAGAATTAAGAAGGAACTCAATAAACCATGTAATGCAAGTATTGAATAACAAGCTTCATTTGGTCTAGTTAATCTAATAAAAAACATATTAAGTGTATCTATCTCTCTATCTATTTATCTATCTGTCTATCAGTCTATTCATCTATAGATCTAATAACCTATCTACATTCTACCTGTCTCTTTCTAAGTGTGTTTTAACTGTATTGCTTCCGGTATATTTTAAAGAAAACTAGCTTTATAATCCATGTCAACGCCTTGAAATTTAAAATATTTTTACAGTATCAAATACAAACACTAAATTGTTTAATGTACATAACAAAGTATTATGTACAGTGTACATGTAAAGAAAGTGTGAATATGTTGGTGTAAGAGGGTTCCCTACCCTGCCTGACTCACTAGGCCTAACAGACTGCCTAGGACATATATGTTATTTACATTTGGTCCTGAGATCTTGGAGTATTTGATCAATTGGAACAATCATAAGAGATAATTCTATTTTTGTTTTTATTCTTGGAGTATTTGATAAAATGTAAAAGTTTATAGAGATAACTAGATTTTTTGTTTTCATTCTTATAGAGTATTTATAAAATGGAACAGTTTATAAAGTATATTATTGGAGTATTTTTTAAATTTGAAGAAATTATAGAGATTACACGATTTTGTTTGTAAACTTGGAATATTTTATAAATTGGAACAGTTTACAGAGATAATTCTATTTTTTGTTTTCATTCTTATAAAGTATTAATATATTGAGAAAATTAATATTTTCGGAGTATTTAGTAAATTGGAACAATCATACAGATAATCTGATTTTTGTTTTATCACTCTAATTTTTTAATTGTACCATCTTTGCAACCTGATGGCGAAGACCTTTGATATTTCAAAATGTAAATTATGCTAGATTGAATAGATAAAGTTTAAAATATGGAAGGTTTACATCATCAGGTTTTAAAGATAAAAGGATTACAAAATGAGTCTAGAAATAAGTTTGTTTGAGTATTAAACAGAGAGTGATCCAGCAATAATATTACTTGATGTTGTTTAGATCTGCAGGTTTTTTATGCATAAATTGTTAAACAGTATCAATATTAATTTCCTAGAATAAAATTTTGGCTTAGACTTTTCATGACGTGACAAAATTCATCATTTAATTTTCTGCCTTAAATATCTGTATTATTTATTTTAAAAAATGAAATCAGAAAATAAATATTAAATTTTAGGGTTATAACTAGCTTTTATTCAGTTTTAACATTTAAATATAGTAAATATGATTTAATTGAAATCATGGGTTTGTATTATTAATAAATTCAAATTTGACATTTATAAAGACTACAAGATTCTAATTATCTCTTTAATATTCCTCCGTAATCCCTTATACTCCTACAGTCGTAACTTGTACCCTAGCGTTCAGATCTTTAGGAACTGCAGGCGTTAAGGTTTAGGCACTGGCGCAGAACAGTGGCGCCAGAAGATAGGAACTTGCCAGGACAAAATACAGGGATGGTTATTAAACATTAAACATTTTACTCATCTATGCCCTGTCAGCTGTCATGATGAATACCTTTAATTAATTTACTGTGTTTCCAGATTTGTTTGTTAAAAGCTCCGTAGTTAAGTATATTTTATACATCGATATATGTTAATATACATAAATAGATCAACTAATGGATTGCTTTTTATGTCGTCTTTCTATTCCTCCATATTCTAGACCCCCCCTTAAGTAGCTTATTTTCTATATTAAAAACTTTTAGTCTTACGTCTTTAGTCTCATTTAAGATCTAAGGGTTTCCCAAAAAGGATGCGAGTTTAGAGACGACTGTCCGTAATGTTGCGTTCTTATATTTATGATTCCTGCAACCGTAAACTTCATTAAATTCAAGGCAGCATATTTTATTAAACTGTGAACTCTTACAGTTATTTGAGGGTAACCCTCTATTGAATTTTTTGATAAAAAAGAAATGTTTATACATTCATTGCCCCTAGACTTTACCTTTTATTACTGCTGCAAATCGTTACAATTAAATACTCTTTATGTATCCTGACAAAATTTCGCAAATTTAAACCTTGTGCAAAATTATTTTTGCAAGCTTTTAAGCAATTTGAAATATTTAATGATTCAAGGCGAGCTGTAATACAATTGTGCAAAGATGTCTTTGTAAATAATAAAATAGAACATGAAACAATAGTTCTACATATAAAGTTAAGTTTATAACTCCAATAATGGAGACAATCTTAGTTAAATATGTATATGGACGAACATGAAGATATTCTAATTTTTGGGTCTAAATAAGTTTTTAAAAAATCCTCATTCATTCGAACTTCGGTAAATTCTAAAAGAAAAAGAAAAAGGAATTGTGTGTTTGCCACAAAATCTGATTTCAAAAGTCCTATATCTTTGCAACCCAATGTCGTAGGTCTTAGATATTTCAAAGTATGATCAAATAGATCAAATAATCTAAGTTTGAAATATCAAAGGTTTGCACTATCAGGTTGCAAAGATATAGAAATAAAAATATTCAGTTTGCCATTATAAAAAATCTATATGTTTAGACAATTAATATAACTCGACTATTCTTCTTAAATCCCCTCTTTGAATACTTGAAATACTTCAAATAATGGGTTCCGTTTCCAATGCACCGTACTCGGAAAACATAATATTTTTATGGGGAAAACCCCCCCCCCCTTCACCCCTCCTGAAAGTGGATGATTATAGTTTGAATTTTTACCGCCCAACAATACCGACCCATGATTCCTCAACAACAAGATGTTATATGCTACTTAACTGTTCCAATTAGGACAATAAAGTAAAATAGCTTTATCCCGCTTTACATAGTTTTGTACATTTATTTGCGCATTTTCATCTCACAAGATCAAAGAGTGAAATACTTTGGGGGGAAATTTAAAAAAAACTAGAAATTTAGATACTAGAAATTCAAGGCGCTTCGCGCCCTTCTTTCTAGCCTTAGAGGGCGCTTTGCGCCCATCTCCTAAATTAATTGTGAACATGTTCTCTTTCTGTACATCGTAAAACAAAACAAAAATAATTCGCGGATTTTCACAAAAAATTTTGCGGATTTTCAAAATTTTAAAAAATTTAATGACGATCGAATTTTGATGGAGACAAATATTTGAAATTTTGATGATTCATAAACCTTCCCTGGAGTCCCTAGATGTCCCACAAAAAATTTGGGCCCGATCGGTTCAGCCGTTTTGACGTTTATTGGATACAAACAAACAAACAAACAAACAGACACCCAGACAAGCCAAATTTATATATAGATACGCTCTTGACGTCTTGAAGGCAAAAATGGAATTGGTAATCGTGGT